GAGCATCACCACCTTGTCCCGAACGTCATCGATAGTTGATTGCGATGAGGTTTCTCATCAACTGAGAGCTTAAAAATTTGATTTATATTTGAAAAAAAAGCATTATTTTTTGCTGTAAATCTAAGGAACAAAAAGTAGGAGGGTTTGGGAGCCCAGGAATGGAGGGGAGGGGAGCGGGAAGAGAAGCGAAAGGAGGCATCAGTGAGGTTTATTCCAGCCTCTTCTGTGACATGGAAGATAATTGCTGAGTAGCAGCATCTTTCGGATATATATATTTTTTGGTGCGTTTAAGCGTAGCTTAATAAATATTCTACAGGAGAAATTAGATGATTTTTCGTTGTGGTAACTATGTATGGCGGAATTATTTTTCAGGTATTCGTAGCGAATCCGAACAAATCAAAAGCTGTTAGCGATATTTTATTGCGAAATAAAGAGAAATTAGTTGATTTTTTAACAAATTTCCATACCGATCGTACCGAAGACGAGCAATTTAACGACGAAAAAGCCTATCTAATAAAGCAGATACAGGACATGAAATCGTGAGCTTCTTCATCCGGCTCCCACCGTGTAAATCATTTTGATTTTTAGCATATTCAGGATATAATTAAAGCTTCTTTGCTGTGTGCGTTACGATCTTTTTTAGCTTCCACTGTTTAACGTGACCAAATTCCGTGGAATGCTTTGAAGGAATTTGAATTAAACCTCTTATTGAACATTGCTTTAAGTAATTAGCAGTCAGAACCCTTCCATATTCGCTCACTATAAAAGGCTGAAATTCTCGGAATTATACCGAGGATAACAAATGCCAATAGCAATCACTCGCCGGCAAGTCTATCGATGGCTTCCTCTTTCGAGGAGTGCTTATGAGTAAGCTAATCGAGGGTTTGACTTCCTGGCACACGGCATTGAAACGAATGAGCGGATTGTAAGGAGGGATTACCGAAATTTCACATCTGGAGACGAACAGTCGACCTTCTGCCCGATTAGCACTAGTGCTTCCCACCGTACCGTTTCTGCCAGCCAAAATTAAGGTATCAGCGACAACGAAGACAGTCCTCGAGGAAATAG